GGATGTCTGTTGTGGGGAAGGGAAGGGAAAGGAGATTGTAAGCCGCTCTGAGACTCCTTTGGGTAGTGAAGGGCGGGATATAAATCCAATCTCTTCTTCTTCTTTTACCTCACAGGATGTCTGTTGTGGGGAAGGGAAGGGAAAGGAGATTGTAAGCCGCTCTGAGACTCCTTTGGGTAGTGAAGGGCGGGATATAAATCCAATCTCTTCTCCTCTTCTTCTTTGTTTTTCTGTTAGCATTTCTACTGGTTTTTTTAGGACATTTGCTTTTATTTTTTGTACACGTTAGCGCTTACACCTTAGGCCGCTATGTTCTTGCTAACGCTCTGGGCTGATACGACCAGCTTTGTGTATTTTTTAAGACAACACCGTCTCTGTTTGCTTTACGCGCTTGCTTTTACATCTGCCATTGTTACATAATCTATTTTTAAACAGACTTCGCTGGGTTTCTTTCTAAGCGCCGCTCTGCTTTTGTCAAGGATATTTTCAGGGTTCATGGTTTCATTCGCGCGCCTAAGCTGCCTCAGGAGCCAAACCTGCCTGAATGTTTGTGGAACTCTCCGCCTATTAACATCAGGGCCCTGCGGGATCGGTTACAATTCTGCAGGGCCTACACGGCAGAGAAGTTCCGCCAAGCATATGGCTGAGGACGGCAACGGTTTTAATCGGTTTTTGACAACTAGCCGGAGTGTCAGTTTGGTGTAGAGGTTAAGTGTGTCGACTCTAATGTGGGAGAACCAGGTTTGAATCCCTACACCTCCTCTTGCAGCTGCTGGATGACCTTGGGCAAGCCATAGTTCTGTCAGAGCTGTCCTTGTTCAGGGGTCCCCAACGTGGTGCCCACGGGCAACACCTTTCCGAGTGCCCACCAAGCACCAAGCCAATTTGGTGTAGTAGTTAAGTGTGCGGACTCCAACCTGGGAGAACCTGGTTTGATTCCCCACTCCTCCACATGCAGCTGCTGGATGACCTTGGGCAAGCCATACTTCTGTCAGAGCTGTCCTCCTAAGGACAGTTCTGGAAAGAGCTCTCTCAGCCCCACCTTCCTCACAGGGTGTCTGTTGTGGGGGAGGAGAAGGGAAAGGAGTTTGTAAGCTGCTCTGAGACTCCGAGTGAAGGGGCATAAATCCAATCTCCTCCTCCTCCTTTAACTGCTTTCACCTCTCCTCCCATTCTTAATGTAAATTGAGGGGGGCATAATTGTATTACAGCGACATGTGATGTTGGGTTTTATGGAATTATATTTTTAGATTATTTAATGTCTTTTATATAGGGGTGGGCACAGACGGGGAAAGCCTTCTTCGGTTCGGGACTCATGAGCCAAATGGTCCTGAACCGAGACCCGAACCGAACCCCCAGCAAAAAACCCACCCGAACTGAACCAGATTGGGTGGCGTCGGGCCCCTGCCCCTAGCATGCCCGCATCATCTGAAAGTTACACGAGTGAGTCGCCCCCCTAACATGCTTGTGTCACTTCCGGGTGGCACTGGGCCCTGCTCCCAACGCACCAAGGTCATCCGAAAGTGACATGAGCATGTCGGGCAGTGTGCTTGCATCACTTCCTGGTGACGTGGGTGCGCCGGGGGGGGGGGATCCCTAATTTTATATGTATTTTATATGAATTTGTTGTGCACCGCCCTGAGCCCACTTGCAGGGAGGGTGGTAAAAGAGCCTAATGTAATAAATTGGATAAGCATATGGAGCAGAGGTCCATCTGTGGCTCTTAGCCACAAGGAGGTCTAGATAGGAACTCTCAGTCTGGGGCAAGTGATGCACTGTATTCTTGGTGCTTGGGGGGGGGCAACAGTGGGAGGGCTTCTAGTGTCCTGGCCCCACTGGTGGACCTCCTGGTGGCACCTGGTATTTCTGGCCACTGTGTGACACAGAGTGTTGGACTGGATGGGCTATTGGCCTGACCCAGCATTGGCTTCTCTTATGTTCTTATTGGGTGTGGAGCCTGAGGAAGGCAGGGTTTGGGGTGGGGATGGACCTCAGCAAACCCAACGCCACAGAATCCACTCTCCAAGGCAGCTCTTTTCTCCAGGGGAACAGATCTCTGTGGCCCGGAGCTGACTCGTAATCCCAAGAGGCCCCATCTGGAGGTAGGCAGCCTGACATGCTACTCCAGTAGAGCTTGGCAGCCCACCAGGAAATTTCCCCCAAAGTCAAGCAGCCAATCCGCCCCGGCCAATGGGCCGTTTTCTTCAAATACACCGCTGTAGCAGTGAAGAGGCAAGAGAAGACAGTGACAAAAGCTAAGTGCTTGAAGAATTATGCGGGCTCGCAGAAGAAAAGGGAGGGCAGAGTGCCATGGTGGGGGTCACTTACAGGAAGAGCAAGCATTTCCAGCTCCTTGTAAAAAATGGAACGTTACATCTCCCCTTAGCAAGCAAGTTCTTGGCTGCCGGAAAACCACACACAGACACACAGACACAGACACAGACACAGACACAGACACAGACACAGAGACAGACACAGAGAGAGAGAGAGAGAGAGAGAGAGAGAGAGAGAGAGAGAGAGAGAGAGAGAGGACACCTATCCATCCTGCACGCTCACCAGCCATCTCTTTGGAACATTTTTTATCCTATCTGGTATATTTTTTATCCTGTCTACCCTCTAAGTTGCTCAGGGCCGCCCATATGGTTCTCCCTTCCAGTTCGGGGTACTGGTTAAGAGCGGTGGACTCTAATCCGGAGAGCTGGGTTTGATTCCCCACTCTTCCACATGCAGCCAGCTGGGTGACCTTGGGTCAGTCACAGTTCCCTCAGAGCTCTCTCAGCCCCACCTGCCTCACAGGGCGTCTGTTGTGGGGAGACAGATCCAGGTGGAGGTCAGCCATGTTGGTCTGAAGCAGTAGAACAAATTTAGAGTCCAGTGGCATCTTTAAGACCAGCAAAGTTTTATTCTGGGTATAAACTTTTGTGTCCACGCACACTTTTTCAAATATTCATACCCTGAATAAAACTTTGTTGGTCTTAAAGGTGCCACTGGACTCTAAATTTGTTGCGGGAAGAGGAAGGGAAGGAGACTGTAAGCTGCTCTAAGACTATGAGTGAAGGGCGGGGTATAAATCCAACTCTTCTTCTCCTCACAGAAACAACCCTGTGAGGTAAGTGAGGCTGAGGGAAGAGGGTTTGGCCCAAAGTCACTCAGCGAGATTTGCGGCAGAGTAGGGATTCGAACCCTGGGCACCTGGATTCTAGTCCTAACACTCTAACCATTATACCACACCGACACTGGGCATGCTAACAGAGCCCCGTGTTCCACCTAGACCTAGATATTCATGCCCAAGGTAACTGGACCTGGGGAAAGGGGAGAAACAGACTGAAAAAGCTGCAGTGTGATCTCTCAACACAGCATTATTCCAGCTTCCGTTTTGGGATGGATTTCTCCAGGCAAGAACCCCATCTTCGTCTGACTGAGGACCCTCGGAGTCTCTTTCAGCTTTTCTTTGCTTGCTATAACTTGCAAATTGACATTGCAATTAAAACCAAAAAAGAGAAGAGCGGCAAAGGGCAGTGTTCTGATATGCCTTGGCCCAAACTGTGCCATCTTCATCCCATGAAAACAGGAAGAATGAAAAACACAAATAATAAAGAAACTCCCAGAGTACGGGGCCGGGTGCAGTTTGGCGCCCCTAAGGGCCAGCCCACTCTAGGCAATCGCCTAGTTCGCCTAGTGAGTGAGCCAGCCCTGGGTAGAGATGGACCCTACACCCCCTGGCCTTGAGCCACAACCTCTCTCCACCATATAAGTCTTTTCACAACAAGTGCCGGAACGTTCACACATACAGTGCCTTTAGGGACCACACCATGTGTATGGCACTGAGACTGCTTTGAATCTTCAACACATGAAGGTGCCTTATACCGAATCAGACCCTCAGTCCATCAAGGTCAGTATCGTCTACTCTGACCGGCAGCAGCTCTCCAGGGTCTCAGGCTGAGGTCTTTCACATCACCTACTGCCTGGCCCTTTCACCTGGAGATGCCGGGGATTGAACCGGGGACCTTCTGCATGCTGGGCAGAGGCTCTACCACTGACCTACAGCCCCTACACAGTCTGACTGCTCTGCCACTGACCTACAGCCCCTACACAGTCTGACTGTGGCTCTCCAGGGTCTCAGGCTGAGGTCTTTCACATCACCTACTACCTAGTCCTTTTAACTGGAGATGCTGGGGATTGAACCGGGGACTTTCCGCATGCCAAGCACAGGCTCTGCCACTGACCTACAGCCCCTACACAGCCTGACGGTGGCTCTCCAGGGTCTCAGGCTGAGGTCTTTCACATCACCTACTGTCTGGTCCTTTTAACTGGAGATGCTGGGGATTGAACCTGGGACCTTCTGCATGCCAAACAGAGGCTGCACCACTGGGCTACGCCCCCTCCCTCTCCTAGCAGCAATCAAAGAAGAAACACCATCTCACCCTCTGCTTAGGGAGGAAGGATTCTCCACCCCTACCCCTACATAGGCCAGATCGGTATGAGACCCTGATGTATGAAAGCAAAAACCAATAAATGGCATCAATCGAAGCAATTAAAGACTCATAAATGCATCAATTAAAAGTCTGTCATAGTAAAATAAAACAAAAATCCAGAGGCACCTTAGAAGGCTAACAACATTTATTTCAATATGAGCTTTTGTGGGTCAAAGTCCACTTGTATCTATCTGACAAAGTGGGGTGGGGACCAAGGTTGCCAGCTCCAGGTTGGGAAAGACCTGGAGAATTTTGAGTGTGGAGCCTGGGGAGGGCGGGGTTTGGGAAGGGGAGGGACTTCAATAGGGCATAATGCCATAGAGTCCACCTTCCAGAGCGGCCGTTTTCTCCAGGGGAACTGATCCCTGTTGCCTGGAGATCAGTTGTGATCCCAGGAGATCTCCAGCCACCACCTGGAGGCTGGTGACCTAGCTGTGACCCATGAAAGCTCCAACTGAAATAAACATAGGTAGTTGTCAAGATGCTGCTGAATTTTTCTTTCTACTAAAAGCAAGCCATTTTTACCTCTTCTGTGTATTCCTTTGGCAAGGGGACCCCGGCTGTGACCTGGCAAAGAGCAAGAAAAAAGTATTAATTGTGCGTGTGAACAGAACATCAGAGAAGCCATGTTGGATCACGCCAATGGCCCATCCAGTCCAACACTCTGTGTCACACAGTGGCCAAAAATACCAGGTGCCATCAGGAGGTCCAGCAGTGGGGCCAGAACTCCAGAAGCCCTCTCACTGTTGCACCCAAAGCATCAAGAATACAGAGCATCGCTGCCCCAAAGACAGCCAATGTGGTGTAGTGGTTAAGAGCAGCAGACTCTAATCTGGAGAACCGGGTTTGACTCTGCACTCCTCCACATGAAGCCAGCTGGGTGACCTTGGGTCAGTCACAGCTATCTCAGAGTTCTCTCAGCCCCAAAAAGAAATCCATCTTGCCACCTAGTGGTGCATAACACTAAAAAGCACTAGTACATAAGAACATACATAAGAACATAAGAGATGCCAATGTTGGATCAGGCCAAAGGCCCATCCAGTCCAACACTCTGTGTCACACAGTGGCCAGAAATACCAGTGCCATCAGGAGGTCCACCAGTGAGGCCAGGACATTAGAAGCCCTTCCCCTGTTGACCCCCCCAAGCACCAAGAATACAGAGCATCCCTTGCCCCAGAGTCCCTATCTATACCTTGTGGCTAATAGCCACTGATGGACCTCTGCTCCAAATGCTTATCTAATTCCCTCTTGAAGCCATCCATTGTAGTTCAGGCAGCCTGACAATCCTAGGATCTCTTGGCTATACCACACACAACGCCATACAATAATAATAATTATTATTATTACTGCCCCAGACATGGAAGTGGGGGGAATGAATTTCCTGTGTATTGCAATTTGACTGCCAAGTCTACCTGCAAGCCTTTCTAAACAAGCCTCCCAAGAAGGGGGGGACAATGTGTGAAATTCCTATACAAGGACACGACAAAAGGTTGTGCATTTGGGCTCAGCTGTGTGCAAGCCCAAGAGCTTGGTCCTTATTAGCACAACGTACTAAACAGTAATTGTTTTCTGCTCGTTAATTCGCAAAGAGCTGTTCACAGCCCTGAGGGATGTGCCGTTTTCAGCACCAGGTGCAGAAACCAAAGAGACACGCCAGTCTGTGAAGAAGGCCGCTAGCAGCACACGGAAGATCTCATTAGCAAAGGATCAGTGAGCCAGGGACCCCGCCCCTAAGAAGAATCTGTCTTCATCTTGTCCCTTTCCCCCATTGCCTTTTCAGCTTTCCTGACTTGAGAAACCTAGTATCCATGCTTGAAAAGGTTTTAAGCACATGAGTCCTTCTGACCACGTGTGTTCTTAGGTGGTAGTCAAATGAGGGGGCTGTACCACATTAAAATCAACAAACTGCGCTGGCTCCAAGACATACAAGGGCACTAAACATTAGAGAGCCAGTTTGGTGCAGTGGTTAAGTGTGTGCATTGTAATTTGGGAGAACTGGGTTTGATTCCCCACTCCTCCACTTGCACCTGGCTGGATGACCTTGGGCAAGCCATAGGTCTGATAAGAGCTGTTCTTGAAAAAGAGCAGTTTCTTTCAGAGCTCTCTCAGCCCCACCTACCTCACAGGGTGTCTGTTGTGGGGAGGGGAAAGGAAAGGAGACTGTAAGCTGCTCTGAGACTCTTTTGGGTAGTGAAGGGCGGGGTATAAATCCAATCTCTTCTTCTTCTGCTACATCAAAAGAGTTTTAGCAGCCTATTGGACTACACATAGCAGCAAAAAAGAAGACAAGGTTGGATTTATACCCCGCCCTTCACTACCCAAAAGAGTCTCAGAGCAGCTTACAGTCTCCTTTCCTTTCCCCTCCCCACAACAGACACCCTGTGATCAATGTTCCCTCTAAGCTGTGGAGTCTTGTGAGCAAAAATTCTACTTTGTGAGCTACTGGCATTAAAGTTGTGAGCGAGCGATTTGGCTACTGCATCAATTAGTTTGCTCCGGAGCCGTCCTTCCTGAGCTAAGACAAAAATGTGTGAGCCGGAGGTTCAAAAACTGTGAGCTAGCTCACACTAACTCAGCTTAGAGGGAACACTGCCTGTGATGCACCTTTGAGAAGTCAAAAGGTTTGGTGGGAGAAGAAAGCAACTGGAGCAGAGAGGGTCCCTCCCTTTGGTTAATGTAGTGATTTATGTCACTAGGTCCACTGTCCTTTTTGCGGAATCAACTGGTCTTTCCTTTACGTTGGCCTGGTTTTGAATCCAGCAGGTCACTAACCATGATTAATTTAGATCAAGATGGGGAGCTGTGATCGTTTGTCTGTAGCAGTAGAAAAGAGTCCAGGAGCACCTTAAAGACTAAGGAAATCTGTGGCGGAAGAGGAGCTTTCGTGAGTCATGGCTCACTCCTTCAGATACACTTCAGATCTCTGAAGAAGTGAGCCGTGACTCACGAAAGCTCCTCCCCTGCCACAAATTCTGTTAGTCTTTAAGGTGCTCCTGCATCCGCTCTTCTACGCAATTTATTTATTTACTTCATTTACACCCAAGCCTTTCTCCCTAAAGCAGCTCACATTGTTCTCCTGTCCTCCATTTTATCCTCACAACAACCCTGCGAGGTAGGTTAGGTTGAGAGGGTAAGACTGGCCCAGGGTCACCTCGCACGCTTCCATGGGAGAGTCGGGGTTTGAACGGGTTTGCCCAGGTTCTAGTCTGGCGCTCTAAGCACTCCACCACCCTGGTTCTCACAGACTCGAAGAGCCGACAAGGGGTGAAGAGGATCATCCGGTGCTCACCGTGGGCCCTCCACCGTGCATCTTTAGAGCTCGGACGGTGGCAACCAAGACGGCCACGTGGGGCTGGAGGCCAGAGTACCGACACTTGATGTCGAAGAACTTCTCCATGCCTATATCCGCTCCGAAGCCAGCTTCTGTCACTGCAGGCAGAACAAAAAAAAAAGTCATTATATCAGATGAGCACAGAAATCAGATGGCCCCATTGTGACTTCTTTGCCCCAAAGTTACTTTCAATATTATTCCGCCTTTTGTATTGAAGAGTCAGGGGGAGGGGGGGGATTTATACCCCTCCCTTCACTCGGAGGCAAAGGGGTAGAGTTTATGCTTTGCACGCAGAAGGTCCCTGGTTCAGTCCCAGGCGTTTCCAAGTAGGAGGATCTGGTGATACAAAAGACCTCTGCCTGAGACCCTGGAGAGTCCATCGTAATAGACAGTACTCTGAACTTAATGCATCAATGGGCTGATACTTAATATGGAAGAAGAAGGAGGGTTGGATTTATACCCCGCCCTTCTTTTTTTTAAAAGAAATTTTATTGATTTTAATAATACAACAATATAAACAGTTTGACATGACATTAGGGTTGAAGATAAACTTAATAAACGTATCATTACAGGTAGAGTTTGTTTATGTCCAATAAGGTTTAGTAATGCATATAAATCCAAGCATGTTTTAATATTGTACACTAAGAGCATTACGTTATAGGCAAAATAGGGAAAGCTAAATTGGTTATATTATTCACAATAAAGCATCAATTTGTATTTAGCTTCCGTTATGTTTTCCCAATCGAATTTGTTTAACTCTATATTGTCTAGAATGGGATACTATACCCCGCCCTTCTCCACCCGAAGGAGTCTCGGAGTGGCTTACAATCTCCTTTCCCTTTCCCTCACCACCTGTGAGGGAGGTGGGGCTGAGAGAGCTCTTTTGAGAACTGCTCCTGAGAGAACTTGTGACTGACCCAAGGTCACACCAGCAACTGCATGTGGAGGAGTGGGGAATCAAACCCAGTTCTCCCGGATTAGAGTCCGCGCTCCTAACCACTATACCAAACTGGCTCTAGAAAAGAAAAACAAAAGAGGCCTAACGATTGAACAACTGAACAATACAATGGCAAATGCGAGAATGCTATATGGACAACTGCAGCAAGAGCCCCCCAGAAAGCCCATAAAAAGCTCATCGTATTCCTGACAAAGCAAAAAGAGAAAAGAAACGGTGGACAGCCGGGCTTCTGAACACCCCCACCTGGTCTCTTAACACCTGGGAATTTTTTATTCTCTTTTATCCCACCCTTCCTCAAAGGAGCTCTGTGATGAAACTGGCCTTCCAAGCCCCATTCTCTCAGCTTCCAGGGGACTGGAAGAGACCCCCGCTGCTTCCTTGGCTTTCCCAGTCTCTGCCCCCTTTAGGTGCAACAGTCTAGCAGAGGTGCAGGATGGGAAGCCTTCTGTCTTGCTCCGTCCACAGCCATTTGCATAGCACTGAAAGGCTCTGTGCTTGGAGTTCAGTGCCTCATCCCCCCCCAGCCAGTGTTCCCTCTAAGCTGAGTTGGTGTGAGCCAGCTCACAGTTTTTGAGCCTCCAGCTCACACGTTTTTGTCTTTGCTCAGGAAGGACGGCTCCAGAGCAAACCGATTCATGCGGGAGCCAAATCGCTCGCTCACAACTTGAATGCCAGGAGCTCACAAAGTAGAATTTCTGCTCACAAGACTCCACAGCTTAGAGGGATCATTGCCCCCGGCACCTTTCTTCTTTGAAATCGACCCCGTTCACAGGCAGGGTGCTTGCTGGGTGTGTTTTTTTGCCATCGAGTTGCAGCTGACTTATGGCAACCTCATGGGGTTTTCAAGGCAAGAGGCGTTCAGAGGTGGGTTGTCACTGCCTGCCTCTGCATAGCAACCTTGCATTTCCTTGGTGGTCCTCCTATCAAAGTACTAACCAGGGCTGACCTGCTTAGCTCCAGGGTGTGACGAGATTGGTTTAACAGGCAGAATGCCGTCCCAATTTCTGGAGTATCGATGTCATTTCTAGGCTGCAGCGTACTTCTCCGTCAGCACACACATACAAAAACAGACTATCAGGGCCAGAGGTCCTCACGACTTACCCACAAACCCTTCCTTGCCAACCAGCTTGAGGGCGATCTTGTCTGCCAGGACGGAAGAGTTGCCATGAGCGATGTTGGCAAACGGCCCAGCGTGGACGAACACCGGGTCGCCCTGGCAGAGAAAAGAGGCAGCAAAGACATGGCAAAAATGAATTAAGAAAAGCCGTTCCAAAACACCGGGAGAGCCTATATCAAGATCTCCCTATGTATGCTGATTAGGGAGGAGGTTCCAAGCCGCCCCTCCCTGCAATCACCATACATTATGTCGCTTGGAAGGTAGACGTATAGGAATTTATTGGCCCTGCACCCGTGGTTTAGCCACACGATTCTATGCACATGTAACCAGGAGTGATTCTCATTTGTCTCCAATGGGATTTACTCCCTGGTAAATAAGACTGCAGCTTGAAACATTTTAGGATGGTTGAGGCCTTGAAAGGGAAGGGGGAAATAGGAATCACCCCTGCCCCACACAGAATTCACACACACACATCACATTTTATCTTGCCCCTCCTCCAAAAAACTATCTTCCTCCATTTTGTGCTCACAACAGCACTCCGAGGTAGGTTATGTCGAGAGAGCTCTCTGACTCTAAACCACCTTGAGTCTAAGAAGTGAAGGTGGAATAGAAATAGTTTAAATAAATAAAAGAAGAAGGAGAAGGAGAAGGAGAAGAAGGAGAAGAAGAAGAAGAGGAGGAGGAGGAGAAGAGGAGGAGGAGGAGAAGAAGAAGGAGAAGAAGAAATTTAACCAGGGGCTTTTTTGTTAAATGAGATAGAGCATAAAATCTGGACACCTTAATGGTGGTTTCCTTAGAGAGAGAGGAGGAGGAGGAGGAGGAGATTGGATTTATACCCCACCATTCACTCGGAGTCTCAGAGCGGCTTACAAACTCCTTTCCCTTCCCCTCCCCACAACAGACACCCTGTGAGGTAGGTGGGGCTGAGAGAGCTCTGACACAAACTGCTCTTTTTCAAGGACGGCTGTGCCAGAGCTTGTGGCTGACCCAAGGTCACATCAGAAGGTGCGAGTGGAGGAGTGGGGAATCAAACCCGGTTCTCCCAGATTAGAATCCACGCACTTAACCACTACACCAAACTGACTCTCTACAACTCCACCCTGATTCTCTATAGGATACATTTCGTAGAATCACAGCGTTGGAAGGGACTATAACAGGCCACCTAATCCAACCCCTTGCTCAATGCAGGAAGAGCATCCCCGACCACTTATTCCTGCCACCTCGCAAAAGGCCACCCCTCTGGACAATATTCTGATGCACAGCCATCTCCTAACACAGAATATGCACCTACCTCCAAACTCTGCATGAGATTTGGCTTAATAGCGTCTTTCATCAGAACCGTTAGAGCACCACTCACTCCCTAAAGGAAAGAAGGACGAACGGTTATTTCCAATGACATTTCTGCCCAGGCCTTTATCTTTTTATCTTCCTGTTTATTCAGAACTGCTTCTCTTCTGTAGAAGCACCTGCTGCAATACAGGGGCCATCGCAGACAAGGCCCCGCCTCTGGTAGCTTTCACCAAACAGTGGAACTCCAGAGTGGGGCTTTGTTAGATTCTCTCTGCACATGAGAAGTCTGAAGAGAGAACACACACTTTAGGGTATGTACACAGTGGGCTCAGATCATGTAGGTTTAAGTTGCTGAGCCTCACATCGAAATCCAAGAGATTTCACTGGAATTGCCCTACAAACTCCAAGCCAACTTGCTTGGGCCTAGAATCAGAGCTTTTGCGCTTCTTCGAGTCAACCCCTGCAACTTTTATCCCAGACTTCCTTTCTGGCAAGATGATGGCCAACTTACCAGATCTTCTGTGGTAACTGGGATACCTTCCCTACTGGAAGCGACCACCATTCGGGCCAGGCGTCTCCTCATATCTTCCAGGCTGTCCGTGAGCGCTAAAACAGCCATGATCTCACTGGCTACCGTGATGTCAAACTGCGTCTAGAAGAAGAAGAAGAAGGAGAGAAGAAGAAGAGATTGGATTTATACCCAGCCCTTCACTTGGAGTCTCAGAGCGGCTGACAAACTCCTTTCCCTTCCCCTCCCCACAACAGACACCCTGTGAGGTGGGTGGGGCTGAGAGAGCTCTGACACAAACTGCTCTTTTTCAAGGACAGCTGTGCCAGAGCTTGTGACTGACCCAAGGTCACATCAGCAGGTGCAAGTGGAGGAGTGGGGAATCAAACCCGGTTCTCCCAGATTAGAGTCCGCGCACTTAACCACTACACCAAACTGACTCTCAAGAGACGCCAGAAGAGGCAGTTAAATAAAACAGAAAGGAGGGAAAACATCTAGCAAAGGGTCAAGAGCAGTTTCCTTTTTTTATTAGACTGTTGCTGGATATTCGGAAATATTTTGTTTCTTATTTCAAAGAGAGCACCTATTCCTGCACACTGTGATAATGATGCTTTATTTGCTGCTTCTATACTTGGACAATATATTTTTAATACAGTTGATTCTACTTGTACGCAACTATTCATGATATTTGATAACTTCTGATGAATTTACACTTTCCCTTACCCTTTTTCCCTTCTGTATCCCACTTTTTTAAGAAAACAAAAAAATTTAACTGGGAAAGAACAGTTTCCTTGAACAGAGTCGCAGAAAAAAACTCTTAGAGAACTTTGCTCAAGGCTAACAAAGTTGCTGAAGATGTAAGAGGGGAAAAAAGGTCCTGTTCACAGCCTTGTTTTTCTAAAAAGCAAAGAATCCCAAAGGGCGAAAGCAAAGACACTTACTGTGCGGCTATGCCCTTTCTCTGTCGGAGACTGGCCGATAGTGATCTTCCGCAGAAACCGGTCACTGGTGTCCAACACTGTGCAAGCAGAAAGGGGGGGAGAAAAAGAGAGAATGAGTGCACACCAGAACTATTTAAAAAAGAGAGAGACAGGAGCCATTTTGTACGTGCAGAGGGCGAGAGACTAATGTCTTAGCACTCCAAGGCAGAAGACGTCAACTTTGACAAAAGAACTCAAGCCATTTGCTCGTCTGAATTATCCAGGCATTGGGGGGGGGGGGGGCTCCTCTGGGCAGGGCTGGGCAAAGCCTACGGACATTACCAGGGGCCCAGGAGGCAGTTGTGGGAAGTGTTCGGTTTAATAATTCAGCGTTTCGAGAACTTCAGCTAGCCTGATCTATTTTTAAAAAAAGAATAAAAGGAGAACGTGCCCCCCCCCCAGCAGTTCTTAGGACTATGAATCTGTGGGCAATGAGAAGGAAAACTTTAGAAACTCACAAGAGACCCCAACCAAGCAGATGAACGTGGGAAGGGCTTTCTGGAAGAGTGGCGAGCAGGCCACAGAGATCCAAAATGCTTAAGCCATCGCCTCCAGTTTCCCATTCTATTCAAACAGAGCTTTGTTCCCATCCAGCTTCATGAATGGAACGTGAATGCTTAAACCAAAACAGGAAGGACTGTGCCCAGTCTCATTGCCAATGCTGATTTCTCCACACCTATTACCCCTCTGCATATCTCACCTAAGTCCAATCACGCCTGCTGTTGTCATTCACCTGCTATTGTCATTCACCTGCTAATGTCATTCCAGCAGCCAAAAAAAGGGGGGGACCCTTAATCCTCCTTGACTGACCATTCTGGTTTAGTATATGCCAGCTTTTGAGATTGGGTCCCATTACAGCCATGCTTGAATAAGAATTATTCGAAACGCGGCATCAGGCATCCGGATTACGTGTCGGCTTTTTATGGCTCAGAAAATTTGATGACTTACACTTCAATTTGGACTCTGATATTTGCTTCTATGACACATGGAAAGACCGTAGACTGTGCTTCTATTATGCTTTATTATTGCACCTTGGCCAATTGATTCATATTATACTTGCTGTTATGCTTATATGATTATTATATACTTGCTATTTTGCTTGTGCGTTTATTTTCAGTCAGTGGTGTGTTCTTTGCTGTTCCTTGCTAATGTAATTCGGCATCTGAAGTCACTCCACTTTCTAATAAATAGGACAGGCGGACTCCTATTATAGCTGTATCTGAAGAAGTGAGCCGCGTGACTCATGGAAGCTCCTCCCCTGCCATGCATTTTGTTAGTCTTTCAGGTGCTACTAGACTCTTGCTCCTTTCTACTGCTACGGACAGACTAACACGGCTGTCCATCTTGATCGGTGCCCTGGACCATGTCTACTTGTAGCACGGACGTCTCAGACAACGAAGACTTGATTTCAAATCCACATTCTCCCACGAAAACCATGGGGTAATCTTGGTCCAGACAACATCTTTTTGGTGGTTCATGGTATCCGTAAAACGCTCCTCCAGTGCCACATTTCAAATCATCATCATCATCAGGGCTCTTTTTGTAGAAAAAGCCCAGCAGGAACTCATTAGCATAATAGGCCACACCCAACAGCAGAAACCCGTTAGCATATTGGGCCACACCCCTGACAGCACAGCTCATTAGCCTATTAGGCCGCACCCCCATGTTACCAGAGGTGTGGTCATCCAGCCACACCCACCTTTTGCTTGTTATTGTTTACCTTGTTTGTTGTCAAAACCCAGGGCTTTTTTGTAGCAGGAACTCCTTTGCATGTTAGGCCACACACCCCTAATGTAGCCAATCCTAATGAGTTTCTGCTGTTGGGTGTGGCCTATTATGCTAATGAGTTCCTGCTGGGCGTGGCCAACTTGGGAGCCAGCCAGAACGCCGTTCCTGTGCGTTCCTGCCCAAAAATAGCCCTGATCATCATTATTATTATATTTTGTTTTTATACCTCCCATTCCCCAATAGGGCTCAGGGCGGTGCACAACAAAACCACATTCGTACAATACAGTTAATACAGTATCATACATGGCTATTAGCCACAAGGTATAGATGGGAACTCTGGGTCTGGGGCAAGTGATGCTCTGTATTCTTGGTGCTTGGGGGGGGGGGCAACAGTGGGAGGGCTTCTAGTGTCCTGGCACCACTGGTGGACCTCCTGATGGCACCTGGTATTTTTGGCCACTGTGTGACAGAGTGTTGGACTGGATGGGCCACTGGCCTGATCCAACACTGGCTTTTTTATGTTCTTATGTATGAATAAAAATCACAATAAAATTCACACAAAAAATGCATCTGACGAAGAGAGCTGTATTTCTCGAAAGCTTATGCTACAATAAAGTTTGTTAGTCTTAAAGGTGCTACTGGGCTTTTTACTATTTTAGAGCCAGGAAGGATCGCACCGTTGGATGCCTGACTTGCGCACATTCATGTTAGCTGAGCCTGTCTAAGTCTTCAGAAGCTGCTGCTGCTTATGGAATAAAATAAGACTGAGTCCCATTAACACGGCAAGAGCCAGACTTTCAGGAATACATTTCTTCGGAAATGGCAGGAAATTATATGCATTTTAAAAGTCTCTTGAAAGGGAAGCGTTGACACCCCTTCCCTGCCTTTCTCTGGTTTTTTCCCTGGTAAGCTCAAAAAAAGCAGAAAGATTCAAGTTTGGAGAGCTACACGGAAATAACAAATCAGCTTCTCTCAGCATGCCGCTGATTAACGGACCACAAGGCGACGACTTCCGAACTGCCAAATGCATGCCTCTCGACAGTGAAGATTTCCATATCTAAGCTGACGGATAATTTCAGAGGGTAGCAGTAGAACAGCTAGATTCAAGTCCAGTAGCACCTTAGAGGAAAGCGAGATTTCCAGGGAGTGAGTTTTCGAGAGATTTGGCTCTCCAAAGCTCATACCCTGAAAATCTTGTTGGTCTTTTAAGGCGCAACCAGACTTGAATCAAGTAGATGGGCTTTCTTGCAAACTTTCGGTTTCACTTACTGCTTGCTTTTGGGCCAATCGGCTCATTTACTCAAAGGCATCCAACGAAAGTGATGGGCAGTAGGTTCAGAATTGACAAAAGGAAATACTACTTTACACAGAGAGTGGTTAAAATGTGGAATCTGCTGCCAGAGGATAAAGTGATAGCCATAGGAACAAGCAGTTTTTAAAGGGGATTAGATAGACTTATCCTCCATTAATCTATCCGTGGCTACTAGGCATGGTGACTGAGGCGAACCTCCACATTCAGAGGCACTAAACCTCTGAATTCCAGAGCCATGAGGTAGTCTCACACAGGGGCCAACCGGTTTCTCTGGAGGGCCAACAACAGGGCACAGAGGCCAAGGCCTTCCCCTGATGTTGCCTCCTGGCTCTGGGATCCAGAGGTTGGCTGCCTCTGAACATGGAGGTTCCCTTTAGGCACCCACCATGGCTAGTAGCCACTGATAGACCCGTCCTCCATCAATCTATCTCAGGGGTGGCCAAACTGCAGCTTGGAGCCACATGAGGCTCTTTCACATAGTCAAATTTAATGTGAATAAAAAGCAAATTTGCATATTTTTCGATAAAAACATGTGTGTGATATTTGTTCATGTCTTGCAGCTCTCAAACATCTGATGTTTATTCTAAGTGGCTGTTAGAGGTTAAGCAAGTATGGCCACCCCTGACCATTTTTAAAGCTGTCTGTGCCTCTGGCCACCACTACGTCCTCTGGCAGGGAATTCTAGTGAGAAGAAGAAGAGGAGGAGGAGGAGGAGGAGATTGGATTTATACTCCACCCTTTACTACCCGAAGGTGTCTCAGAGCAGCTTACAAACTCCTCTCCCTTCCCCTCCCCACAACAGACACCCTGTGAGGTAGATGGGGCTGAGAGAGCTGTGAGAGGAACTGGTCTTTTTTCAAGGACAGCTCTGACAGAACTATGGCTTGCCCAAGGTCATCCAGCCAGGTGCAAGTGGAGGAGTGGGGAATCAAACCCGGTTCTCCCAGATTAGAGTCCGCGCACATAACCACTACACCAAACTGGCATGATCCTGTCCTCCTTTTCCACCTCCTCTATTGTATTTCTCATAGAAAACGGTAACTTCAGTACATAATGTTGGGATGGACTGATTTCTGAAAGTCTGCTCGCCAACCGTCATTTAAAGTCAGTTTCAGTAACCGTCAGGTACTTTCAACTTCCACCCAGCATTCTTGCCCATAAAAGACCTTTCATCCCCCTGCCCCTTGAGACATTTTCTGGATTCCTTTTCTTTCAATTATTTTTGCCTGGATACCTCTTGCCCACGTTATGCTCTCTGGATCAATATCCAGTCTCACAAATTTCTTTATTTCGCCTGCCGTCAAAGTGTCTGGGTCCGTTTTGTTAATACGTAATCTCTGGAGAGAGAAAAGAAAAAAAAGGAGGGGAATGGGGAAAGAACAAAAAGAAGAGAGTGTTACAGGAAAAGGACCACGAAGCAATCTCCTCGGAGTATTTTCAAAAACAAAACAAAGGGAGAAATGGATCTATTCCAGAGGATTAACATCTGGGCAGAAATCTACCACAAGCTAGGCACGGTTTACAGATGAAAACCTGAAAGATGAGCTCTGTACACATGTTCTAGTGAACGCATGTAAAAGTATAATGCATCACATCTGTTTGTAAGACAGGATCAATATCTGTATGCTAAAAATAAAACAGGGACCAGTACCTGGACAAATGTAGGGTTTAAATTGTACATTCAGCTGTGCATGCATTGAATGTAACACAAGAATTACTCAATGCATGTCAAATGAAACCCAAGTGTACACTGCATGAACTGTATGTGCATTCACTGAAATCTGAACAGAGCTTCTGGGTACACAATTTTTCTTTGTACATGCATTGGGTAATTCTTGTGTCATGCCCAATGCATGAACAGTTGAATGCACAATTTAAATGCTGCATTTATACAGGTACCGGTCTCCAATTTTTAAAGTGTACGTGCATCAACTCTTTCTTACAAAAAGATGTGTCCATATACTTGCAGGATGCATGTTCACTGTAAAACATGTCTGTGCTGAAGAAAATGGCAGAGTTTCTCGTGAGCCTGAATGTTCCCTGTGGAAAACCAGCTATAGCAAGTGTTCTTGGCCTTTACTCTAACCCTGCTCCCCATATCAGCAGACTGAGCAGGAATTTTTTCCCACCAGGTACCCCCATAAGGGTGGGCATTATAGATCTCTTCTACTAGTAGCAGCCTTTTTTCTGGTTCAAGAAAACCTTCCACTCATGCAAAATGGCTGCCACATCAGGAAAGTGTCCCCATAAGTGTAAAGGATCCCCAGGATCCAATCTCATGGCAGCAGGAAAACCTTCACCCACTAAGTTCCCAAGGAGTAAGAGCAAGTGATAAAAGGCTGCTCTAGGAATCACTGGAAACTCTATGGTAAAAACCACAGAGTTTCTGTAGATTCCTAGAGCTACCCCACAAATTATTTTGTCACTTACTGTATAAACTTCCAGTAAATATCTGAGGCTACTTTAAAAAAATTCTCCAGGCAACAAGACCTAGGGGAAGGGAACCTCTCAGCCCCAGCGGGGGCTTGGCAGCCCTATTTTTACCTCAGCATAACCTTTATGGTACTTTAAATGGGCTCTGTAGCCTTGCTGGATCAGACTAATGGTCCATCTAATCCAGCATCCTGTGTCCAACAGTGGCCTGTAGACAATAGTTGTCCCCTGCTGACCACTCCCCACTGGCAGTGTTCCCTCTAAGGTGAGTTAGTGTGAGCTAGCTCACAGTTTCTTAGCCTCCAGCTCACACATTTTTGTCTTCGCTGAAGGAGGGCTCCAGAGCAAGTTAATTGATGCAGCAGCCAAATCGCTCGCTCACAACTTTAATGCCACCTGTATAAACTATCTGAGGTTACTTTAAAAAAATTCTCCGGGCAACAAGACCTAGGGGAAGGGAATCTCTCAGCCCCAGCGGGGGCTTGGCAGGCCTATTTTTACCTCAGCATAACCTTTACGGTACTTTAAATGGGCTCTGTAGCCCTGCTGGATCAGACCAATGGTCCATCTAATCCAGCATCCTGTGTCCAACAGTGGCCTGTAGACAATAGTTGTCCCCTGCTGACCATTCTCCAGCAGTGTTCCCTCTAAGCTGAGTTAGTGTGAGCTAGCTCACAGTTTCTTGGCCTCTAACTCACACATTTTTGTCTTAGCTCAGGAAGGATGGCTCCAGAGCAAGTTAATTTATGCGGCCGCCAAATTGCTCGCTCACAACTTTAATGCCAGTAGCTCACAAAGTAGAATTGTTGTTCACAAGACTCCACGGCTTAGAGGGAACATTGATCCCCAGTATCTCCCCATCGGGGATATTCTACCTTTTAATCTGCAGACCCCATTGTGCCTATCAGCCAATGACAGATCACTCCTCTTTCCACCTTGTATGTCAAGTGCACCTTCCCAGAAGGACTGTAACTTTTCACTTTGTTGCTAAAGTGAAAAAAAACAATACATAAACCTGGCCTCCAGGTCCTGCTTTTGTCTCTGTATCTGAACTGCCTGGTCTTGTATATTACACAACCAAAATTGCACCAGATACCCAGTTCTGCACTTACAGACATGATGGGTAGACACACCCCTAAGTGTATCTTGGGGGGATGTTGGAAGAAGGGGAGCTACGTGTTTACCTGCAGTCTCCGGATCTGGATATCGGAAAACTTCCTGGCGCCGTCGACTGAAGGAACCAAGCGAGAGTAAAGAGCCTGGGAAAACAAGGGGTGTATTTAGACACTGCAGGGCACTCAATACGTTTTGGTTAAACTGACATTGTACAGCACGTGCAAGGGCGGGCGGACAACTTGAAATGTGTTTACCTGATCGGATTGTGTCGCTTCATGAAAAATGCGGGCATCGATGGCGGCAGCCACCAGGTTATTGGCTGCCGTAATGGCATGAATGTCACCAGTGAGATGGAGATTGAACTACGGGGAGAAAGGAAGAAGGGGGTCGGAGAAGAAAACACACGCCAACGATTATCTTTTCCAAATCTCGTTAAGTCCCCGAACCAGGACTGTCAGCTGTAGAAATAAATATTAATAGCGGAGTGCCTGGAGGAGAGGTGGAAAATTGCTCTGCGTGTGTCTTATCTAATGGAGGAAGCGAGGGAGAGCAGAGCCCTCCTCCTCACTGATGTCTCCTGGCAAAACTTCCAGACATTTTGAAGATACGTGACAGAAGAAAAAACACTTCTCTTTCCCAGGCACAGATGACTTATGGTGACTGCGTAGGGTCTTCAAGGCAAGAAACGTTCAGAGGTCGTTTGCCATTGCCTGCCTCTGTGTAGCAACCCTGGACTTCCCTGGTGGTCTCTCATCCAAGTTCTAACGAAGACCGACCCTGCTTCGCTTCCGAGATCTGATGAGGATCAGGCTAGCCTGGGCTGTCATGGGGCTAAAAAAGGTCCCACAATTCAGCAATTTTCTGCTTGCGTATGGATGAGAGCATAAAGCCCCCCAACATGCAAGCTTTCCTAAACCAGACTAAGAGGATCAGCTGACCACATCGTCTAACTCTGGAACCCTTTCCAGACCCACAGAGTACAGGATTGGCTGAGCGGCAAGCACGTGATTGGAAGTCATGTGACATCAGAGTCACATGAAAAGGAAGGGGGAAACAGGTATGACCACTAGTGTCAAGGCAAGGAGAGCGCACCATGAGGAAATACCACCCAAACACAAGGAGGCAGCCACAGTGAGGAACAAACCAAGGGCCAGAGACATGGAGGAGTCCTCCGACCACTGAGGAGGGTTCCCATTTGTCCACTTATGGCAGCAGACCTCCAGGTAATTGTAGCTCCAGGTAATTGTAGCTCACCTTATCAGGAGACGGAAACTGGGGCCAAACTGAGGGAGGGGAACGGTCCTGTGAAGAAATTTTTTTAAAAGAAAAACAATGCCTCATCTCCTTACAGGAAGTTTTGACCATGGAGTTTCAGATGATGCCTAGAGCTGCCCTTGTCACTTCTGGGTAGCTCTAGGAATCACCAGGAACTCTATGGTTAGAACTTCCTGTAAGGAGATGAGGTTTTTCTTTTTAATTTTTCTCCCAGGATGATACTTCCTCAACAGCCCTCCTGCCAGCTGCCAGGCACCGTCTTGCAACCCTACCGACGAGTGACCTGTCGTCATCCATGTGCTTGCAAAGAGAAGCAGGAGTCAGCTTGCTCTCTGTGCGCCCATTCGAGCAAAACATCCTTCCAAGAGAGAGCAATAAATGGTTCTAGAGGGAATTGTGACTCAGAAGGTACAGCTATACAACCCATGAATTGAAGATCACTGATCCAGCCCGATATCCTGTTACCAGGAGTGACCAACCAAGCACATTAGAGCACTCACAAGTAGGGGCCAAAAAGTGACAGCCCTTGTGTGCTTTATTCCCAGTATCTGGTATACTGCTGATGAAAAAGGAGGTTCCACTTGGCTATCACAGTTAATAGCTAATGACACAATATTTCTCTATGAATTTGTCAAATCTCATTTTAAAAAAACAGTCAAGGCACTGACCAGCACCAGTGTTCCCTCTAAGCCAAGTTAGTGTGAGCTAGCTCATGGTTTTTTGCCTCCGGCTCACACATTTTGGTCTTAGCTCAGGAAGGATGGCTCCAGAGCAAACTAATTTATGCAGCAGCCAAATCGCCCGCTCACAACTTTAATGCCCGTAGCACAAAAAGTAGAATTTTTGCTCACAAGACTCCACAACTTAGACGGAGCACTGACTGACCACCACCATGCCTTTTGGGAGCAAACTCCAAAAGCTAATTATGCACTGTGTGAAGAAGTAATTTCTTTTGTCCCCCGTGATGAAAGAACAGCTTCGTGGTCTATTCACTCACCTGATATAGTTTTAGAAAACTGTAGCATGCAAACTCCCTATTTTAACAAATGGTTTTTTTAAAAAAATGCATCCTAAATCTTTTCGGTTTTTTCCTAAGTGGCTAACATGTTAACACAATTAAAGCTAACAGGTATATTAAAAAACATTAAACTGCAGCAGTCCAAAGACTCTTGGTTCCATGATTTTCCAAATGCCACTAATAGCAGTTTTAAACAGAGAACAGAAGGTGAACGCCCACCCAATCCTTGATCTACTAACAGAAAAGATTCAGAAAAGAAACTAAGGCATTCAAAGAAACACCTTGAATGCATTCCACAGGCGCCGTGCTCTGACCACAGTGCGGCATGCTTCCTCTGCCACTGGTACATACATTTGTACCAAATACATGGGGCTGCCTTTGTCGCAAATCTGGAAGCTGCAGCTGGTGCAGAATGCTGCAGCCAGGCTGTTGATGGGCCTTCCTAGGGGGGCACACATCCAGCCTGTGCTGAAAGCGCTGCACTGGCTGCCGATAGCATACCGGATTCGCTTCAAAGTGCTGGTTCTTACCTTTAAAGCCCTAGATGGCCAGGGTCCGACATACCTACGGGACCGCCTCTCCCCACATGTTCCCCAACGAGCACTACGGTCCGGGACTAAACATCTCCTGGTGGTTCCAGGTCCCAAAGAGGCCAGACTAGCAGCGACTAGGGCTAGGGCTTTTTCGGTGGCGGCTCCTACCTGGTGGAATGAGCTCCCAGAGGAGATCCAGGCCCCACGGGACCTTGCACAGTTCCGCAGGGCCTGCAAGATGGAGCTCTTCCGCCAGGCGTTTGAGTAGGAGCCGCCACGACTGTTACCATCTGTCCTAGCCCTTATTACCAACTCGCCGTGAGTGCAAAAATGGTGGTACTGCGTGGAGCTGTGGCCACTAAGGATACCATCCTGGTGACATCGGTTCCCTTGTTAGTTGTTGTGGAGAGCACTTATGTTGCACTGAATGTTTTTAAAATGCAGTTTTAATGTTTTATGTATTGGGCATTGGCCCCATCTGTACGCCACCCTGAGCCCGTTCACGGGGAGGGCGGGTTATAAATTTAAATAAATAAATAAATTTGTGAAAGATCAATGGTTTCCACTGCTAGCGGCAGAAGATGCATTAAGAACATAAGAGAAGCCAATGTTGGATCAGGCCAACGGCCCCTCCAGTCCAACACTGTCCCACAATGGCCAGAAATACCAGGTGCCATCAGGAGGTCCACCAGTGGGGCCAGAAATCCAAAAGCCCTCCCACTGTTGCTCCCCCCACAAGCACCAAAAATACAGAATGTCACTGCTCCAGACATAAGAACATAAGAGAGAAGCCAATGTTGGATCAGGCCAATGACCCATCTAGTCCAACACTCTGTGACACACAGTGGCCAAAAACACCAGGTGCCATCAGGAGGTCCAGCAGCAGGGCCAAAAGATCCATTCCTAAGATCCATACCCACAAGGCCACATGGTTACCCTTAGCCATGTGAAAGCCATTTTTCCTGTCACAAGACCCTATCGTATCCATCAGCAAAATATGTGGGCTGCGGCATATCACATGGGTCCTTCCCATCCAATCACTACTTTCCCTCACCAGGCAATGATCATGTGGGAAGCCACTGGACCCTCCCATTGGGTTCTGGTATTCATGGGCATACTATAAGCTGCACAGAATCTTGCCACGGAGCAGTGGCTTCCACACCGTTGCGTGAAAATGGCGGGCCAGTCCTCTCCTTTATGCTGCTTCCTCATTCTAAAGAACAATCACGTGAACAAGCCAGAGGCATCCAGACAAGTTCTCATCCAGGAACTTAAAAAAGATTTCGATCAAAGTTTGAGCCCAGTGGCACTTTTAAGACCCACAAAGTTCTATTCTGGGTGTAAGCTTTTGTGTGCATGCATGTAACTGAAGAAGTGTGCATGCAGACGAAAGCTTATGCCCAGAATAAAACTTTGTTGGACTTAAAGGTGCCACTGGACTCGAACTTGGTTCTGCTGCTTCAGACCAACACGGCTACCCCCACCTGAATCTAAATAAGATTTAAATTAGTAAAATCAGAACATTACCTCCTCCATAGGAACAACCTGAGAATAGCCCCCTCCGGCAGCACCCCCTGTAAGAAGAAGGAACAGGTGGGTTATCAAACATTAGATGAGGGGCAAAACATTAAGCACGTCTGCTTCAGAATTAACACCCTCTACAGCCCTGACCTGGATAGCCCAGGCAAGCCCGATCTCGTCAGATCTCGGAAGCCATGCAGGGCCGACCCTGGCAAGTACTGGGAAGGGAGACCTCCAAGGAATACCAGGGCTGGGACGCAGAGGCAGGTGATGGCAAGCCACCTCTCTGAAACTTCCTAGCCCCACTAGGTGTTGCCAGAAGTCACCATGACTTCCAGGCACACAAGCACCTATACACACAAAAAAATAAACACCCCCTACTTACTGAGGGTCCCAAAGGAAGGATATGTCCTTTTACCAGTGAAGAAAGTCATTACCAGGGGTAATTTCCTGCAGGAGCGCACAGGAGCGGCGCTCCGGCAGTAAGGAGCCCAGGGGGTGGGCACATGCAACAAGCCCTGCCCTCATGCTCCCAGCAGCCCTCATTAAGGCCACGAGGAGCAAGAAGCAGCCAGGTAAGTTGCAGAGGGCCCCCCTGGCCCGCCTTCAGGTACAAGCTCTCCCTCCTCTGTGAGGGCAGATCTGCACGGTCCCCCCCCAAAAAATAGCTATCAATCCAAAACAGTCCAGTGGTGCCTTCTGACACACTTCCGGTGATGTCAGGGGGTGTGGCATATGCAAATACGTTATACTAATAAGTTATGCTAATGAGCTCCTGCACCTCTTTTTCTACGAAATCACCCCTGGATTTACACATTTCCCCATCAGTATTCCCTTGTTATCCCCACTTTTCTTCCATGAAACTCAGTGTGGCTTTCTAGCACCTGGGAGACCCAGGTTCGACTCCGCTTTCCACCATGAAACCTGTTGGGTGATCTGGGCCCAGTCACTTTCTCTGCCTAACCTACCTCGCAGAATTGTTGTATGAAGGAGGGAAAACCACACACCTCGTCCTGTGCTATTATGTTGGTTCCGGCTGATCTTGGAATCATAATAAATTAACTGACTTGACTGACCATGTCCCTAACAAAGTTAGAGTCCAGTGGTACCTTTAAGACCAACAAAGTTTTATCCAAGGGGTGAGCTTTTGTGTGCATGCACACGTGGTCAGACGATGAAATGGAGTTACATATCATAGTTGTATATAGAGGTTGTTGTTGTTCAGTTGCACAGTCGAGTCCGACCCTTCGCGACCCCATGGACCAGATCACGCCAGGCCCTCCTGTCTTCCGCCGTCCTCTGAAGTTTGCTCAATTTCATGTTCGTTGCATCTATGACACTGTCTTAACCATCTCATCCTTTGCCGTCCCCGTCTTCTTTGACCTTCAGTCTTTCCCAGCATCAGGATCTTCTCCAGGGAGTGCTCCCTTCTCATTGGGTGGCCAAAGTATTTGAGCTTCAGCTTCATTATCTGGCCTTCCAGGGAACAGTCAGGGTTGATTTCTTTTAGGATTGACTGATTTGATCTTCTTGCAGTCCAAGGGACTCTCAAGAGTCTTCTCCAGCACCATAGTTCAAAAGAATCTATTCTTCGGCGCTCGGCCTTCCTTATAGTCCAACTCTCGCAGCCATACATGACTACTGAAAGACTATTGAAAGAGGTAGTCAATCTTTAAAGGTACAATTGTGGTCTTAGGGTACTGTCTCAGTGATGATCTGGTTCTTATAGATCCACATGGGTCAATGCAGGGGTAATTCATGAGGACAACCAGATGGATTAACTCCATTTCATCGTCTGATGAAGTGTGCATGCATACGAAAGCTCACACCATGGATATACTTTGCTGGTCTTAAAGGTGCCTCTAGACTTTAACTTTGTTCTGTTGCTTCAGACCAACACAGCTACCCACCTTGATCTATATTCATGTCCCTAACACTGAGCTTCTCAGAAGAAGAGCAGGTAAAAATGTATTATTGGACAGACAGAATTTCAGGAAACAGGTTTCCTTTTCATGTCCAAAATGTTAGCTGGAAAACAGACTCGAAATGTCTAGAAAGAGCAGTAAGGAAAAGGTAAAGGTTTCCCTTGTTCGAAAGCCAGTTGAACCCGACTCTAGGGGGGAGTGCTCATCTCCGTTTCCAAGCCGAACATCCAGCGCTGTCTGAAGACGTTTCCGTGGCCATGTGGCCGGCATGACAAGACACCGAGGCGCACGGAACGCTGTTACCTTCCCACTGAAGCGGTACCTATTTATCTACTTGCAATTTCTTGCTTTTGAACTGCTAGTTTGGCAGGAGCTGGGGCCAGAGACGAGAGCTCACTCCGTCATGCGGCACTCGGGCCTCAAACTGCCCAACTACCGACCTTCCGGCCTGCAGTTTAGCGTCTTAACCTCTGAGCCACCGCAGTAGCAATTGCTTAATACAGCCACCGAAGATAGAAGCGGCAGCAGTGAATTTTAATTACAAGGAAGTGACAGAGCACATCGCTGGCATATAAAGCCCCTCAAGTTAACGCTGCATTTCAGCAGATCCTTCTCCGTATTGTCGAAGGGGGCCTGTCGATTGCGGGGAAGACGTTGCCATATGTGATGGTTATGTAACGACATATGGGCCTCCTGGGATTCAGTTCTCTGGAGAGTTTGGTCATCCAACTAGACAGAATGTCATCCCGGATCCACGTTCACCGTCATTAGGGATTTTTCAAGGGCAAAATTAGGGGGGGGGGAGTGTTGCGTAGAGACCTCAGTACTCTTTTCCTATCCCTGCTGCAAGATCGGAACTTGCTAAGAAAAAGGGGGAAACAACCGCCAGCCATTTCTGCTGAATCTCGGGACGAGGCGAGGCGGTACGGAACGCTGACAGAAAACATTAACTTTTCATTTACAATTCACGAACGGTTACTCACAGCCTGAACAATTCAACGGGGGGAAAGAAACAATGGTTGTTCTTTGGGACTCCAAAACGTCCTATTGTTACACCTCCTTCACAGATAAATTCTTTTCAGGCAAATGCTGTGCCTAGTTAATTGGAACTGTTGAGCGCTTTAAAGCGGAGTCTCTTCATGTTTTAAATGAAAGATAACGGCTACATGTCGAAGTGCTGTGTTTTGCATTACTTAGCAATTTAATATTCTTAGTTATCGGTTGGGAAGGAAAAACGGGGCCTTAATTTTGTGTGAGGGCCCATTTGTCTTCTCTGGGAAATCCCGAATAAAAAATTTCTTTCAACAAAAGAAGAAGAGGATATTGGATTTATACCCCATCCTTCAGTACCTGAAGGAGTCTCAGAGTGCCTTACAATCGCCTACCCTTCCTCTCCCCACAACAGACACCCTGTGAGGTAGGTGGGGCTGAGAGAGGTCTGAGAGATCTGCCCTTGAGAGAACAGGAGCGGTGGCACAGGGGATTTATCCTCTGGTTACAAGTAACATCTGAGCTGAACAGGACTACTGTCAGTTCTAGCCCCGCGCTGGTGTGAGCTACCAGCCTTGTCCCCAGCTCGCCGTCTACCCAGCGGTTCAAAAGCTTCAGCGAGTAGATAAAATGGGTACCACTCCTTAGAGAGGGTGGGCATACCAACCCCCCCCCCACCGTGGGGGAGTTGTTAGCCAGCAAACGGAAGGTTCAGCTCGCAAGATCGAAAGCCTAGAAGATCTCTTCGGCATCAAGAAGCCTGTAATGGGCCGTTCCGGCCAGGCGGTGGCAGTATGGAGCTGCGACCAGAAGAGTCCTGGAGAGGAAGAGCTGACGTCATCCTGCCAAGCCAAGCTGAGTGGGAAAAATGCCATCTGGATCACGTCTGAGTTGCAACTGAACAAATCCCCGTCGGCTGCAAAACGTGTGCTATGTAAAGATTATATGTGTTGTCCTCCCTTACCCCTATAAAGCATTGTTAGTCCCTTGTGAAATGAGTAACTGTAAATCGCTCAGAGCCACCAGCTCTGCAAGGATTGAGCGATCAATAAATTGAAAGATTAGATTTAGATTTAACAGCTCTGAGAGAACATGTGATTGACCCAAGGTCACACCAGCAGCTGCATGTAGAGAAGTGGGGAATCAAACAGGGTTCTCCCAGATTAAAGTCCGCGCCCCTAACCGCTACACCAAAATGGCTCTCCTAGGAGAGTGTCTTAACTATATGGTGGGTCGTTCCAGAGGGCAGCACTGATGATCTGCAGTAGAACAGCTAGATTAGAGTCCAGTAGCTCGTCAGAGACCAACAAGATTCTCTGATGCATGAGCTTTCGAGAGTAAAAGCCCCCTTCACCAGCTACCAAAAGCTCATACCCCCCAACTTATTGGTCTCTAAGGTGTTAATGGACCATGCAGGGTGAAATGGTAAAATCCACGGAACCGTTCCATTTGACCGCAACTTACTGTGCAAGCTGGACCTAAGGTCCCACTGGCTTCTGCAGCCCCTCCACAGCTGAAGGCAATCCACACCCAAGCTACCGAAGGACCCGACTGCTGCTGTTCCGTACCTTTGATCCCGAAAGTGGGTCCCTGTGATGGCTGCCGGACACAGGCGAAGGCATTCCGACCCAGGTGCACTCCCAGGGCCTGGACCAGCCCGATCGTCGTAGTGCTCTTCCCTTCGCCCAGAGGCGTGGGGGTTATCCTTTAATCCAAAAAGACAGCCCCGTATAAAGTTTTATTCAGAAGCACAGCCACATTCTTAAAGCAGAGCCGCTAAAGGTGGGGTCCCCAACGGGGTGCCCACTTACACCTTTCCTGGTGCTCGCAGAGTGTTTTCGGAAAGTCCACAGGGCCAGATGGGGTTTTTGCCCAGCCAGACGTCTGACTGGCCACTGGAGATTCTACTGGCTAAAAAGATTTTCTAAGATGTTCCTTTGGTGGCCGCGGCAGCGACCAGAGCACAAGGATCTTTACTTGTGTGACTGAAGGTAAGCTGCGGCAGCCATTTTGTGGCTTCGCCTATCACACTGTGTCAGAATTCCAACGGTGACCTCAGGCCCAAAAAAGGTTGGGGACCCCTGTTTTCTAATGTTCACTCCACAGTTTTTTAAGATGACAGCCACTACAGGGTGTCGCAGACAGAATCTGGGGCTTCAGTAGGGAAGGGAGGGTAAAAGCCAGTGCCAGCAGTCCCACTCTAAATTACAAAGAGAAACAAAGCATTTACAGTAAAGCTCCAACATAGCACAAAGGCCACAGTGGTGGAAGGAAACCTTGAGTCCACCTCCCACCAAAAAAGCTTACTTTGGCCCCAGTCACACGGCAAAGTTGCCGCGGGAGAGGCACGGAGGGTGGGCGGATTATCCGGGCGCGATCGCACCCCAACATCTGGGAAGTTGAGCGCACCTGTGGTTCACCACCGAACATGCGCATTAAAAAACTAGTACCTCCAAAGTACTAGTAAACTTTGCCACAGGCTGCCTCCAGACTCCCCTGGTGTGATCACGCCGGCGCACAGCATTCCCCTCCGGTCCCTCGTTTACCCGCCGGCACCGAGGGAAGGACCCATGGTGTGCCACCGGTACGTCTGATCGCATAATCGCGGATCAAACTGCACCGGGGCAATTAGCCACGCCTCCCCCCCCCCCAACTTACTGTGCAAGCTGGACCTAAGGTCCCACTGGCTTCTGCAGCCCCTCCACAGCTGAAGGCAATCCACACCCAAGCTACCGAAGGACCCGACTGCTGCTGTTCCGTACCTTTGATCCCGAAAGTGGGTCCCTGTGATGGCTGCCGGACACAGGCGAAGGCATTCCGACCCAGGTGCACTCCCAGGGCCTGGACCAGCCCGATCGTCGTGGTGCTCTTCCCTTCGCCCAGAGGCGTGGGGGTTATCCTTTAATCCAAAAAGACAGCCCCGTATAAAGTTTTATTCAGAAGCACAGCCACATTCTTAAAGCAGAGCCGCTAAAGGTGGGGTCCCCAACGGGGTGCCCACTTACACCTTTCCTGGTGCTCGCAGAGTGTTTTCGGAAAGTCCACAGGGCCAGATGGGGTTTTTGCCCAGCCAGACGTCTGACTGGCCACTGGAGATTCTACTGGCTAAAAAGATTTTCTAAGATGTTCCTTTGGTGGCCGCGGCAGCGACCAGAGCACAAGGATCTTTACTTGTGTGACTGAAGGTAAGCTGCGGCAGCCATTTTGTGGCTTCGCCTATCACACTGTGTCAGAATTCCAACGGTGACCTCAGGCCCAAAAAAGGTTGGGGACCCCTGTTTTCTAATGTTCACTCCACAGTTTTTTAAGATGACAGCCACTACAGGGTGTCACGTGCTCGCTTCGGCAGCACATATACTACTATACTACAGGGTGTCACAGACAGAATCTGGGGCTTCAGTAGGGAAGGGAGGGCAAAAGCCAGTGCCAGCAGTCCCCCTCTAAATTACAAAGAGAAACAAAGCATTTACTGTAAAGATCCAACATAGCGCAAAGGCCACAGTGGTAGAAGGAGACCTTGAGCCCACCTCCCACCAAAAACTTTGTCCCCGGTTACACGGCAAAGTTGCCGCGGGAGAGGCACGGATGGTGGGCGGATTATCCAGGCGTGATCACACCCCAACTTCTGGGAAGTGGAGCGCACCCGTGGTTCACCGCCGAACATGCGCGTTAAAAAACTAGTACCTCCAAAGTACTAGTAAACGTTTGCCACGGGCTGCCTCCAGACTCCCCTGGTGTGATCGCGCGGCGTGCGGCATTCCCCTCCGGTCCCTCGTTTACCTGCCGGCACCGACGGAAGGACCCGTGGTGTACCGCCGGCGCGTCTGATCGCATAATCGCGGATCAAACTGCGCCGGGGCAATTAGCCATGCCTCCCCCCCGCGATATCTGGCCTGTGTGACCGGGGCCTAGGTTTCCCTGGGTCAGTCTCTCACTTTGCCTAACCTGCCTCACAGGGTCGTTGTGAGGATCAAAAAGGAGGAACCAGATAAACAACCCTTTCCTTTTGGGGAGGAAAAGCAGGATTTTTAAAATCACTCACCAAACTGGATTAAATGATTTGAATAATTAAGAGCATCATTTTTCTGGACACCCCACCCGAGCAGTCCATTTATTCACCGTCTTTGCGCTCCCCTCAGTGGGGAGCAGCCCTGGCTCAGTGGTACAGCATCTGCTCTGTGTGCAGAAGGCCTATTATGCTAATGAGTTCTTGCTGGGTGTGGCCAACTCGGGAGCCAGTTGGAACTCCGTTCCTGTGCGTTCCTGCCCAAAAATAGCCCTGGTTCTAGCCCACATGGCATCTTCCCTGCCCCAATGGGGGAAGAGGAAAGAGGAGGCAGACTTGGATGATGGACCTAGTTCCCCCTTGGGGCCTGGCCCATCCCCTCCTCCCGTCACCGCTATAAGCAACCCAGCAGAAAGACTCCCCATCAACCAGGGCTGCCCAAGCTCTCTAGGACACCTAGAAGAAGAAGAGATTGGATTTACACCCCGCCCGTCACTCGGAGCCTCAGAGCAGCTTACAATCTCCTTCCCTTCCTCTCCCCACAACAGACACCCTGTGAGGTGGGTGGGGCTAAGAGAACTCTGACTGAGAACTGATCTGAAGAGAACAGCTCTGAGGAAAACTTGTGACTGACCCAAGGTCACCCAGCAGCTGCATGTGGAGGAATGGGGAATCAAACACAGTTCTTCCAGATTAGAGTCTGCGGTCCTAACCACTACACCAAGCATGAGTTCTTGCTGGGTGTGGCCAACTCGGGAGCCAGTTGGAACTCCGTTCCTGTGCGTTCCTGCCCAAAAATAGCCCTGGTTCTAGCCCACATGGCATCTTCCCTGCCCCAATGGGGGAAGAGGAAAGAGGAGGCAGACTTGGATGATGGACCTAGTTCCCCCTTGGGGCCTGGCCCATCCCCTCCTCCCGTCACCGCTATAAGCAACCCAGCAGAAAGACTCCCCATCAACCAGGGCTGCCCAAGCTCTCTAGGACACCTAGAAGAAGAAGAGATTGGATTTACACCCCGCCCGTCACTCGGAGCCTCAGAGCAGCTTACAATCTCCTTCCCTTCCTCTCCCCACAACAGACACCCTGTGAGGTGGGTGGGGCTAAGAGAACTCTGACTGAGAACTGATCTGAAGAGAACAGCTCTGAGGAAAACTTGTGACTGACCCAAGGTCACCCAGCAGCTGCATGTGGAGGAATGGGGAATCAAACACAGTTCTTCTAGATTAGAGTCTGCGGTTCTAACCACTACACCAAGCTGGCTCTCAGTATAAGGCAGCTTCACCTACCCTGTGACGACAACGTATTTGCCATCTGGCTGGGCTTTCAGGCGTTCCAGGGTCGAAAGCAAAATCTTGGCCTTGTTCTGACCGTAGAGCTCCACCTCGTCGGAGAGCAAGCCGATCTCTCTGGCCAGCTGGCCAACGGGCTTGGGAACGCACGACCGAGAGACTTCGATGTCACTGCAGGCAAAAAGAAGGTGGCAGAGCAGACAGGGAGGAACTCCATTACCGTTTTGTTTAAAAAACAGTTTGGGGGCATTGATGCAAGACAGTCCCATCCCAGGGATTTTTTCAGATGCTTAAGGGCATGTGCCCTGATGTGGATTTACTGACGTGGCTTTACTGCATGAGTTTTGCAGCATGGATTGCTAGTGGGTTTGCTTAATTGTTGCTTTTAATACTGTTGAGTTTTAATTGTTGCTTTTAATATTAATGAGTTTTAATTGTTGCTTTTAATACTGATGAGTTTTAATTGTTGCTTTTAATACTGATGAGTTTTAATTGTTGCTTTTAATACTGATGAGTTTTAATTGTTATGACTGATGCTGGTTGACACTTTTTTTTTTGCTAAGCTGCCAAGCAAAAGGGAAGGATATAAATATTCTAAATAAGCACATAGAAAATATGCTGTTCTTATTTATTTGAATCAGCAGTGGGTAGGATCCTACCCCATCATTCAGCTAGCAGTAACACCTTCCCCTGGGGTAAGAAGTCCTCCTTTGATGCAACAGTTTGCGGGAAAGCTCCTTGCACCAGAATAGAGTGGCACTATACAACCCACTGAGTTTGATCCTGTGGTTGGGGCCACAGATCAGTGGTGAAGCATCTAACTGGCATGTAGAAGGTCTCAATGAAGCCGGCTCTGGCATTCAGAAGGTCCCAGTGAACCTGCCTGTCCCTCGCATCTCCAGTCGAAAGGATCAGATGGTTGTTGTTCAGTCACACAGTCGAGTCCAACTCTTCATGACCCCATGGACCACATCACGCCAGGCCCTCCTGTCTTCCGTTGTGCTCTGGAGTTGCTCAATTTCATGTTCGTTGCCTCAATAACACTGTCTAACCATCTCATCCTTTGCCGTCCCCATCTTCTTTGACCTTCAGTCTTTCCCAGCATCAGGGTCTTCTCCAGGGAGTGCTCCCTTCTCATTGGGTGGCCAAAGTATTTGAGCTTCAGTTTCATTATCTGGCCTTCCAGGGAACAGTCAGGGTTGATTTCTTTGAGGATTGACTGATTTGTTCTTCTTGCCAAGAGTCTTCTCCAGCACCACAGTTCAAAAGAATCTATTCTTCGGCGCTCGGCCTTCCTTATAGTCCAACTCTCACAGCCGTACATGACTACTGGGAATACCATTCCTTTGACCATACGGACTTTTGTTGGCAGGGTGATGTCTCTACTTTTTATTACGGTAGGTGGTGTGAAAGACCTCTGCCCAAGACCCTGGCAAGCCCTTGACAGCCTGAGTAAATAACATGGAGCCTGAGGGTCTGATTCAGTAGAAGGCAGCTTCATGTGTGCAAGGATCCATTTAGATAACAGCGGTGCCTTCCTTTGAGTCAAAATGCTTCCTGTCACAGGCAGGTTCCTTGTGTCACCAAAAAGCAACAGCAATAGAGGAACAGACCCGACGGGCTCCAACTCAGTGAGTCATTTATTTATTTATTTATTTATTACTTTCAATTTATATCCCACCTTGCCGGTGCAGCACTGGCTCAAGGCAGCTTACACAGCTAAAATGCAATAAAACCAATAAATACAGTAAAAATTCACAATTAAAAGACAATTAAACAGGTAAAGGTTCCCTTGCTCGAAAGCCAGTCGAATCCGACTCTAGGGTTGCAGTGCTCATCTCCGTTTCAAAGCCGAAGAGCCAGCGCTGTCCGAAGACCTTTCTGTGGTCATGTGGCTGGCATGACTAAACACCAAGGCGCGCAGAACGCTGTTACCTTCCCACCGAAGCGGTACCTATTTATCTACTTGCCATTTCTTGCTTTCGAACTGCTAGGTTGGCAGGAGCTGGAACTAGAGACGGGAGCTCACTCCGTCATGCGGCGCACTCAGGTCTCGAACTGCTGAACTACCGACCTTCCACAGCCTGCAGTTCAGCGTCTTAACCACTTGAGCCACCGCAGCTCCTAAAAGACAATTACATAAGGTGCTAATATATACGGATGGCGGAAATATACAGATATCTTATACATGGTCCGATAAGGAAGGGCCATATCCAGCGTAGTAATATAGGGCTGTGGCATATAATCTAGGACAATAGTACTTCTCCTTTCTGCAGTGGGAAGCTGAACTCCTACAGGTGTCAGCTCTGGGATGGGAAATATCTGGATATTTGGGGGGTGGAGCCTGAGGAGGGCGGGGTTTGGGGAGGGACTTCAATGAGGTATAATGCCATCCAGCCCAACTTCCAAAGCAGCCACTTTCTCCAGGTGAATTGACCTTTGTTGCCGGGAGATCAGTTGTAGTCCCAGGAGATCTCCAGCCACCACCTGGAGGATGGCAACCCAATTAACTCCCAAAGTGGAGGGTGATATGCAGGTGAACACACACACCCTTTCCCCACACAACACTGTCACCACAGAAGATGCATCAAAAGGGGGGAGGGGAAGCACATGTCTGTCTATCACTCATTGTAATGGCAGCTTTACAGCAGATTTTTGCAGCACTGCCACTGAGAAACATACACAATGTATCCAGGCAGAACTTGTTGCTGATTTCATTACAGGGACACAGGAGGAGCTTAGCCCTCCCAAAGGAAGCTGGAATAAGATAGGTGCTTTGTTACTGGAATGCACCGAACCTATGTTTTGTCTTGGATCTTCCAGATATGCGAGCAAGTAGTTCCTCGGTCATGGGGCTGCGGTGGCTCAGTGGTTAAGCCGCTAAACTGCAGACCGGAAGGTCGGTAGTTCAGCGGTTTGAGACCCAAGTGCTGCGTGACAGAGTGAGCTCCCGTCTCTGGCCCCAGCTCCTGCCAACCTAGCAGTTCGAAAGTAAGAAACTGCAAGTAGATAAATAGGTACCACATGACCACAGAAACATCTTCGGACGGCACTGGCTCTTCGGCTGGGAAATGGAGATGAGCACCACACCCTAGAGTCAGATTCGACTGGCTTTCAAGCAAGGGAAAACTTTATCTTTAGTTCCTTTCCTCGGTCAGCTCAGTGGCGACTTAAGATTACACCTGCTGTTCCCAAAACACAACACGCCCCACAAGTCATCTGCCCTCCATAAAGCAAAGAGCAGAACAGAGTCATGTATATAATTAGGCGACCCACAAGTGTCTTTCATTTCCCCGCTGTTACTTACCTTGGGACGGGGATTTTGGGAATGAGCTGGTTGTACTGAATATTCCACTTGCCAGGCCGGTATTTCTCTACGAAACGCTGGGCGCTTTCTACGGTGCTCTAAAGTAGCATGCAAAAGACACAACACCCAGTGAGAACAGAAGAAGAGTCCTGCTGGATCAGACCTGCGGTCCATCTAGCCCGGCATCCTGTCTCACACTGCAGCCAACCAATTACTGGTTATAAGACTTAGAAGAGGCGAGTAAAGTAGATATAGTTCTATCCTGCTGTCCTGTGTTCCAGCACACACATTACAGCCGGCTGACGTCGCCAGCACTGCCTTGGAGAGATTTATTTATTTTAAAAAATATATTAGCTGCCTTTCTCTCTTACGGAGCTCAAGGCAGCTTACAATATAAAACGGCAGCTGTGAATATAAACTGCATTTATACTGGAGATGGAGCAGGATTCTTGGCAGGCAGGCTCAACCGCTCCTCGTCCCCCAACGTGTCGCAGTATTCACAGACAGACGTCTGCAACCCTCTGCAACAGAGCAGTCTCTGGGCAACTTCCACAAGCTGCAACACTTTCCTTTGGGGTGTGTGGGGCTGTGCTCAGACTTCAGATTCATGGAGTATGCACAAGTGCCCATACTGGAGTCTCCAAATCTGTTCAGCTTGTGAGTGCTTTTGGGGTTTTGAGAGAGGGGTCTGGGCGCAGCCACAAGACGACTGCCGTGGGAGGCAGGCCCAATCGCAAAACGGCTGCCATGCGGCCTGGGGCCAACAGCAAAAGATCCCAAGCCAAGCATCCCCCTACGAGGTGTCAGCAAGCTGCCAAATTATTGCTTTCTCTTTGCAGATGTGCATTCCTTTACCTACGATTAATTGCCATTATACTGCCTTGTGTGGCAGCCATTTTGTGGATGGCTCTGCCTCGTGTGGCAGCCATTTTGTGGATAGCTCTGCCTCCTGTGTATAGGGCTGCCAAGTCCCCAGGGGGGGGGGATTTTCCCGCCCAAAGGGCCATCAACCGCCAAAGTGCCCAGATCGGGCTGACGTGCCCGGGGCGATGATGTCGCCCAGAAGTGGTGTCATCCCACTGGGCATGTCGCTGGGCAATGCTCTAGCAATCAGCCTGAAAACTCTATGGTACCATAGAGTTTCCAGGCTGATTGCTAGAGCGTCGCCCGGTGACGTGCCCAGCTTGATGATGTCACTTCCGGATGACGTCATCGTGGCGCACACGTGCAAATTTCCTGGGAAGGGACAAACTCTTCCCCGCTTTTCAAGGTAAGAGACTTGGAATCCTACTCCTGTGGCAGCCATTTTGTGGATGGCTCTGCCTCCTGTGGCAGCCATTTTGTGGCAGCATCCGCCATACTACTGAATTACAATTAGAAGGATGCCCACGGGCTCAGAAAGTTGGGATCCCTGCCACAGACCTACCTGCATCAGCATGGCCACAGTCATTGGTCCGACCCCACCAGGCACTGGGGTGATGTAAGAGGCCCTCTCCTTGGCTGCAGCGTAAGCCACATCACCAACTACCCTTTTCCCACTGGCCTTTGTGCTATCTGGAAAAGGACAGGACATATTGCATATCAGAGCAGTAAGTTGAAAAAAGCAATCAAAACCACAACATTTAATTTTTTAAAAAAACCCCAGTGAATACATCCCATTCACTCAGAGTCGTGAGTAGAAGCAATCTCTGTTTCATACCAAGAAGGGCTGCGGTGGGGCTGTGGCTCAGTGACAGAGCATCTGCTTGGCATACAGAAGGTCCCAGGTTCTATCCCTGGAATCTCCAGTAAAAAGGATGAGGTGGTCCATGATGTGAAAGACCTCGAGTTCAGACCCTGGAGAGCCGCTGTCAGTCCGAGTAGACAATCCTGATCTTTTTGTACCAGTGATCTGATTCAGTGTAAGGCAGGTTTTACTTCTTCACCCAAAGAGTCATTAACAGGTGGAATTCACTGCTGCAGGAAGTGGTGGCAGCTACAAACACAGACAGCTTCAAGAGGGGAGTTGATAAACATATAGAGCAGAGGTCCATCAGTGGCTATTAGCCACAAGGTATAGAGAGGAACTCTCGGTCTAGGGTAAGTGATGCTCTGTATTCTTGGTGCTTGGGGGGGGGGGCAACAGTGGGAGGGCTTCTGGAGTTCTGGCCCCGCTGGTGGACCTCCTGAGGACACCTGGGTTTTAGCCACTGTGTGACACAGAGTGTTGGACTGGATAGGCCACTGGCCTGGTCCAACATGGCTTCTCTTAGGTTCTTATGTGTGTGTGTTTGGTAGTAGAGAACAAGCCCTGAATACAGAAGGTCACGGATTCAATCCCTGGCATCTCCATTTAAAAGAGGACCAGACAGTACATTGCTAGGAAGTCTCATGGTTTTCATTAGAACCCTGAAATTCACGACCAGCCAGGGGCTGGGGGAATACTGGTCCCTCTAACCCAGTGATCTGGTTAGCGATCAGGCAGCTTTGAGGACCCTGGTTTTCTTTTCAAATGTTGTTTGCTTAAGTTTGTTGCAGCTTTTTATTCTGGGAGAGAAGCCACTTTTGGAAGAGTTTCCTTGCGTGTCTTAAAAATGGCCCTTTAGACGGGGTTACGAATGGCAGCCAAGAAGCCACACAGCAAAACCAGAAGAGCCTTGAGGCTCCTGAAAAGACCTGCATTTTTATTTGAGGTGTGAGTTTTCATGGCAAGAGCCCGCATCAAATTGCGGAAACTGTTGAATTAGATTGCATCAATAAGTCTGAGAGCATTAACCAAGAGCAAAATGCATCTGCCTATTTTCCTCTAACCGTGTTAAATTACTGAACGTAACAAAGGCGGCTGTCGCCGCCACTGAATGCAGTCGCTGCAAAACGATTGCTGGGCTGATCTGAGAAATTTCCCAGTTTTGCAAAGAAAACAGTCACAAGCGAGACCTTTTAAGATGTTCACATTCGCCCCCCCCCTGTGTGTACGAATATTTCTGAGAATTTGCTTTGCACCTCTGACAAGGTGAGCTCAACCCTACGCCACAATAAATCTGCTAGTCATTAAGGTGCCACAAGACTCCGTTTTAGAAGAGAGACAGAGACTGTTGGTGCTCCTGCACACAAAATGGCTTTGGCAGCCTTTGCCGTCCTCCGCTTCTCCCGGGGGCCCTCTCAAACCCAGTGATGCAGAAGGAAGGAAGGAAGGAGCCGGACGCTCGTGGCGTCCAAGAGAATCTGCCATGAACACGAGCCAACGGCTTCCTTGCCTGCCAACCCGCCTGTCTCGGCAGATGTTCGTACAGCCAAGCGAACCCCAAAGCACTGCCAGCGTCTGCCCATCCATCGCCATGAACCTCGTCCAAGTTCAACTGCAGCCGTTTTGATCATATTAGAGCAGGTGAGGTTCTCACACATGAACACACACGTGACGCTACCTTACTCTGAATTGGACCATCACTCCATCTTAGTCAGTCTTGTCTACTCAGACTGGCAGCAGCTCAACAGGAAATCAGGCAGAGATCTTTCACACCACCTACTGCCTGTTCCTTTCTACTGGAGATACTGGGGATTGAACCTGGGACCTTCTACATGCCATCTAAATCAGTCTTGCAGCAGCTCACCAGGAAATCAGGCTGAGATTTTCCACACCACCTACTACCTGTTCCTTTCAACTGGAGATACTGGGGATTGAACCTGCGACCTTCTACATGCCAAGCAGATGCTCCACCACTGAGTCATGGCCCCCTCTCCACAGATGTAGCTGCTTTCTACTGAATCAGACCTTTGGTCCATCAAAGTCATTATTGTCTACTCAGACTGGCAGCAGCTCTCCGAGGTCTCAGGTGAAGGTCTTTCACACCACCTACTGCCTGGTCCTTTCAACTGGAGATGCTGGGGACTGAACATGGGACCTTCTACATGCCAAGCAGATGCTCTACCACTGAGTCATGGCTCCTCTCCACACATGTAGCTGCTTTCTGGTGAATCAAACCTTTGAGGCACCGATGTCAGTATATTGTCTACTTAGACTGCCATCAGTTACTACCTGATTCTTTCAACTGGAGGTGCCGAGGATTGAACCCGGGACCTTCAGCATGCCAAGCAGATGCTCGGCCACTGAGTCATGGCCCAGCACACTATGGCTGCGGTCACACGGAGCATTAGCCATGCTACTAAGACGGATGATAGGTGGATTTTTTGGGCACGATCACACCGCAACATCTGGTAAGCGTAGAGGTCCCATGACGAACCCGAGGCTTCCCGCCGAAGATGTGGAGTTAAAAACTAGTACCTCTGAGGTACTAGTTTCCGGAAACCGCGGGGCAAGGGCTGGCGTCTGATCGCGTTTCCGGTGGTAGTCCGTGGCATCTGGCGCCCGCCCATGTCCCGTCGCAAACAGGGTCCCCCCCCCCAAGTCTCCACAGGATGCGCACAAGCACCCAACTTTGCCACGCTGCAGGATCGTCGTGTGATCGCCACCTCGCCCCTACCCGCATTTTACGGCTGGTGTGAAAGGGACCCATGAAGAGCTTTCTCTCTCTCTCTCTTTCAATCTCTTCAACAGATTCTCAAGAAGCTCAACTTTCTTCAACGCTTGCCAAGCCAACGGGGGGGGGGGGGGACCTGCTTTCTTGGCACATGGGAATGATTAAAATGTGGAATTCACTGCCAGAGGATTTAGTGATATTACAATGTGGAATTCACTGCCAGAGGATTTAGTGATAGCCACAGGAATAAAAAGCTTCAAAAGTGGGTTAGATAGATTCATGGAGGATAAGTCTATCAATGGCTATTAGCCATGGGTGACTGAGGGGTACCTCCACATTCAGAGGCACTAATCCTCTGAATCCAAGAGCCAGGAGGCAGCATCACGGAAAGGACTCAGCCTCTGTGTCTTGTTGTTGTCCCTCAAGAGGAACTGGTTGGCCACTGTGTGAGATAGGAGAGTGATTAAAATGTAGAATTTGCTGCCAGAGGATGTAGTGATGACCACAAGAATAAAAAGCTTT